CCATAAATATTCACATGGGGTAAACCCCACAAAATGCCTGACAAACATCATCATGCATGGCTCACTGCCTGTCTTTATATTAAAATGCTATTGCAACTACTCTGTTGTTTTGACTTGAATCACCTTGGAATGCAGTTCTGCTCATGAAATGTCACCTCATTGGTCGAGGTCCAAAGAGAACAACGACTCATACAATCATGTCAGCAGCACAATGACGCAACATTGCACTTTGAAGAATAACCGCCAGGATCGGCCCCTGTCCTGCCCCTTCAGTTGGTCAGATATCCTGTTTGGCCAGCTGGGGTTATACTGGTCATCCTTTCTGTGGTGTTCCCTGAGTCTTGTGTGCTTCACAGTCTCTAATGTGTGTATCTTGCTTCCCTGGCTGCCGTGTGGTTCTTAAGCACATCCGCCATTATTGGTCTGGGTTTCAGGCTGGCCTGATTTGTTCCTTGCTTTGTGTTCTGTTTAATGAAACCCTGTTTGTTGAGAGAAGCTGTGTGGATCGCTCACCACCCTTCGTCATGCTCCGCCATAACAACAACATGCAAATTCAAAGGACAACAGCCTCCCACTGAGATCTTATCCAACTATTTACAGGTAACTAGCACACAGTTTCAGACATGCTGCTCTGGAATCCTAGTTTCTAGTAATCTTAGTCACCTTTGTCACAAAAACATCCATTGCCAAATAATACCCTGTCATTCTCTAATAATTTCAATAGTCAGTACAATTATTGTCTTAATTAGTGACATTTGGGGTCACACACGGCTAGTGTGCATATTGTGCTCACAGAAAGACTTGGAACACTTGCTTAATCTAATAAAAATATTGCAAATGTATTGTTTTTACAACAAAAATCATTTGTTAAAACATATCACATTCAAATCAACCAGTATTTTTAAAGTAAAACATTAATTTGAAGTAGTAACACACTGAAAGCCAAATTATAGTTCTACTGTTCTGCATCAATTAGTCACACCTTTGCAATAGTATAAAATTTGTGTTTAGTATACTTTGGGAGTCAAGGACTACAGTTAATCGCAAAATGGCAAAAACAGAACGGAATGAGTCGGTCAAAAATATTATGACAATAGCAAGAAAATGTCTGTGTGAAGGACATATGCAGGTATGTTAAATATTGCTTGTCAATGGACTTTTGTTATTGATAGATTTCTTCAGCGAATCCTCAGGTTCTTTTAGTTGAATGATGAGGCAGGTTCCTTAAGCTTAAGCAGTTTATTAAGACAGAATGAAGATGTTACAGAAAGATGTTTCACACGGCCGGTTCAGTGTCTGTCTGTGTCTGTCTCTGCCCCCACTGAGTGAAACTGGCCCTTTATCTATGGTCTTCATACAGACTCCTGGAGCCGGGGGGTCAGACGGCTACAAATGAATGAACTAAATTATCATAATTAAATGACTACAAATTGACTAGGGAAATCCCTCAGTATGAAACCAATAAATTTGCAACATTTTTGCAGAATTAAGCAAGCGTAACAAGACTATATGAGCTCTGTATATCCATCAGCGAACCATATACTGTCACAATGAGGAATGGGATTATAAGGAATTCTGCAGAAGCAGGCAAGGAAGCTCACTTCCATTCCAAATGGAAAAGATTGTGATTATAAATTAGGCAAATCACTGTACAATTACTTCAAATAATGTTATGATATTTTTACTCAGAACTTTTTTTTTTAATGAGGGGAAAGCAGGGATACGCATGCAGTGAAGCTTGCCTAGCGTGCTACCTAGGCTGCTTTCACCACTGCAACAAGAATGCTGGTAAACGTGCTGCCACAACACCAAACAAACCCATGAGGAGCGAGGGAGGAATGTTTGGCCTGTGCTGGGTGAGCGATGGTCAGTACGGCCTATTTCCTGAAAAGGACTTCAAACAGGTCAGCTCAGTGGAGCGCCTTCTCAGCTCCATTGAGTGTGTGGGTGTGGCGATTTCAGTACACTGCATGCTTAAAGCGTTTCTCAATGAAAAAGAGTGCAGCATTTAAACCTTGACCTTATAATAGTCACCAAGCAAATTGTTAATGTTTTTATGAAATATTTGAGTGACATACTGGTTCTTCTAAACAGACATGGGTAATGTTTACCTTCTGTAATCACTCAAGGTATGAATCATTATTGTTGTTTGAGATGTATTATTATAAAAGACAGCATATGCAAGCATTTCCTGGCAAAACAATTCTCTGCTTTTCCTGTTTTCTTTCTTTTTTTTTTAAATTTGCTGTTGTATAGGGTGCCATGGAATGAAAATCTGACTTCACCTCGGCATAACTGAATAAGGAGAGTTTCGGACCTATATCTGACATACAATGAATTTCAAACATGGTTGCTCCCCCTTTCAAATATATGTAAGAAGTGGTGAAATGGGCTGATATAAAAAAACAAAATTTCAAGCACAATGCACCTGCACAACCTGCAATATATGTTTTCTCTCTTAAGGGGTATGAATGCAGAGTTTCCAGAAGTGCAGCTGTTGAGAAAAAAATAACAATGACAGCTACAGATGTAAGGTTATTTATTACTAATGGGCTAAGAAGGTAAGTGCGATTCAGGGGTACGTTTCCCAACGAACGTAGTTGGAACTATTGAGTTGTACTATTCATGTTCTCATGACTTCAACATAATAAAAGTTATTTCGAAACTGTAATGATATGTCAAGCCTGACATCTAGTGGATGTTGGGGGGAGTGGCGGTTGTTGAATATAGATGCTGTGAGAAACGCTGCTGATGAGAAATACAGGATGGTGTCAGAACTGAAAAGTGTGCCGTTAGTGTGAACGGACAGGGACTGCCTGTGTTCAACACCACTCTAAACCTAGAAGGAAACGTTTCGGAGAACTGGAGGAAATGGATACGACAATTTTGTCTGTACCTGTCCTCCAACAAATGGACGGCAAACCGGAACGGCTTCAGTGTTCACTACTGCTTCACTGGGCAAACCGGAACGGCTTCAGTGTTCACTACTGCTTCACTGTGCCAGCTAGCAGGCTCAGGTGTCGCCCAACACGGTCACTTTCAGCGACGGCAATGTGGACAGAACAGAGCCGTGCATAAGGAAATTCGAGGAATACTGCACCCCAAGAAAGAAACGCTGCATATAAGAGACATACTTTCAACAACAAGACACAGAAACAGGATGAGATGTTTAACCAGTTCCTCACCGACCAATGGCTCCTCTCAAGAAATTGTGAGTATGAGCATTTGGTGGACAGGATTATACGGGATCGTATCATCAAGGGCATAAGGGACAAAGAGACTCATCGGGGACTGTTGAGAGAATAAAAGTTAACCCTAGAGAAATGTATTGACATACGTAGAGCAATAGAGAGCACACAAAGACAAACGCTTAGCTTTGCGTAATACGGAGAGCAGCACAGACAAAAGCCACATGGCAGCAGTGAACACAGTCACACAGGGAGTAACTGCACTGCGCTAGTGGGGAGAGGCAGGGATATAATCACCCCAGCAGGGAGAGAGGAGGACAGCAGAGTAAAAAGACGGTAAACAAGCTACCTGAGATACGAAACAGATAATGTGATTGACTGACCATTCTGTGAAAATACACAATACCTGAAAGACTTGCAAGAAAGATAAAGAAAACATACCTTTTTCACATCAAATCTCCCAAAAGGCACCTGTCAGGATACGGTGTTAACAGGAAAAAACCCAATGGCAAGCTGTGAACATGTTTAGACCTGAAGGATGTTGCACACAGCACTTCCAAATGCCGACAACCAAGGAGACCATAAGTTAGCTGGCTGGGGCAAAACTTTTACTCCCTTTTGCCTTTGTTTTGTTCCCTCCCTCTTCTTTCTGTTATAGATTGGAATAAACTTGGTGGGGTACCCCCAGTCCAGCCCAGACTGTAAGGGCATACCCTAACGTATTAATGCTGGGTGATGGCAATACATATGCTGCGGATTTTGTTATATTGGCAGGGAATGTCCTGGGGCAGCACGCACTCCTTGGGGCAGCAGTTTCAAGACATTTTTATGTCTTCAATATTAATAGCCCGAAGCAGTGCAGTCCCACCTGGGTGCTGACAGATCATGCAATTTATGAAATGGAGGGAACTGTTTCCCCAGCCGTGGTTCCTCCCTGTATCCTTACAGACCTGTAGCACAAATCAGGCATCAACAAATGATAACTTATAGATGGCTAGGGCTGGATATGTGTCCAGAAAGCCGATCACGTGACCTTCGCCCACACTGCAGTTTATTAGAGTTTGAATGTTAAAAATATGTTAAATAGAATTGTTGATATAAACCAGTTTTTGCAATGCATCTTTTAGCCATATATTGTAATAACACAGTTGGAAAGGTGTTTTATCTCCGTGTTATTAATATACTGTTCTCTTTTATCTCAATGTTTTTAATATTGTTTTGTTTATATTTATATTGCTTGATTTATATAAAAATGATAGAATAAAAATGTACTTCTTGCGCATCTTTGGTCAAATTGTTAGGATATTTTATCACAGACCAGAATATTCAATATAGATGTAAACACATACAGATAAAACACATAGAATTTAATTGTGATAAATAATGATGTAATATTGATGATCAGCAATAAATAAATATTGATTTGGCTAATAACTAATTAAGGATGAAAAAGAGCCAAAAATAATAACTCATAAATCATAACTCCTAAATTTAGCCCTGCACTGCAGGTAATATAACCAAAATCTTGAAATAGAAACCCAAACATTATGTAAATTTAACACTGAACAGTCTTGTTAAAATAACCCAACAATTGGGTTAAATCTTTATCCCAACTTGCTGGCTTAATTGCATAACCCATTTCACTGGGTTAGGTGGACGTGATGAACAGGATGTAACACAGACTTACATTTCCTTTGGGAAATGCACTTTTCTGTTTAGTTCCGTTATACCAATGAAACCGGGGCAATACCAAAGAAAATCTGTAAATTATTATTCCGGTGTAGTAATGAAAATCAGAATATGAACAGAAACTTGAAATCAGTTTTTAATTGATGTATAAAGTATTACCTTATTGTATATTTGATTATACATGATTGAACATGAAGTAGGGGTAATATTTCTTTCAGATGTCTTACATTTCATAAACTGAAAGTCAATGGTAGTAAGATAATGACAGAAGCAAAATTTTGCAGATAGTTTCTGTGCAATTAAATATCCAGTTATAAATCTGACTATGAATGTTACCCTAAAGCGTTAGTACCTTCAGTACAGCCAGGTTTATCTTCATTATTAATATTTTTAATACAAACAGTAACTTTTAAAGTTTTAAAAGTGTAAATGAAACTCGACTGTTAGACTGAGCTGCTTTTTGTCAATCAGCCTGTAAATTTGTTTTTATGTTACAGAAATGGTGCTGATTAATGATTAATGAAAATCAGAATATAGCATATAATCATTTGAAATCAATATTTAATTGATATATAAAGTATTACCTTATTATATATGTGATTATACATGATTGAACATGAAGCAGAGGTAAAGACAATGCATTATAAATCATATAAATATTTCTTTCACATGTCTTAATTTCATAAGCTAAAAGTCAATAGTAGTAAGGTAATGACAGAAACGGAATTTTGCACTTTCAATTACAATGAGTTAAATCTAACTACTGTATGAATGTGACCGTAATGTGTTAATGCCTTTATTATAGCCAGGTTTGTCTTGATTATTAACAAATATTTTTTCATTTAAATTTACTTTTAAATTTTCAAAAGAATAAACAAGACCACAAGGTACTTTTAGAAACTAAACTGTTAGATTAAGCCTGTAATTTTATTTTAATGTTACAGAAACAGTGCTGATTAAAACAGTTGAGGATGTCAGTGGCCACAGAGTGACATCAATGAGAGGGAGAGGAGGGGGAGGGTGAGGCTGAGGAGGGCAGAGAAGTGCTGTCCTGCTCTGCTGGGCTGTGGCAACAGGCCCACTACATCTTCAATGAAAGTGCGGAACGCAGACATCGTGGTAAAGACCTGCTGCGATGCCGCACGTGTGCTGGAGGTACCTGTCATTATCACTGCACCCTGGAACCATGATCCTCTGCTCTTTGAAACCAAAGGCCCCCCTGCGTACCCCTGTGATGAGGAGAGGGAGGCAGAAGGAGCGAGAGAAAGGCTAAGGCACAGATACATCTGTAAGGGAGCAGCAGACACTGTCAGCGCAGAGGAGGATGAGCATGAAAGCGGCAGGAACAGATTCATGGCCCTACCGTCAGTGAGCTTAGAGCTGCAGTGCAGATTTGGTTAGTAGAGGTGGTTGCACAGTTTTCCACTGCCGTCTCCTGCTGCTGAAGACTTTGGCCTGGTAGGCAGGGGGGAGGGGGGGGAGGTGTTGCTTATTACTTGAAAAATTTTCCTATATTCTATACTCAGTGACACCATTCCAAAGTGAGACAGGTGGGCACACAATGACACGCTCACCTCCGCCCTGAACACTGCTTGATCCTGTCACCCAGCACTTTGCCCCACTGGTGAATACGGTATTGCTCAAGTCCAGGCACACAGGCTGGATGTAGTTGGTCAGGGTCACACTTGTGGCCAGGCGGAGCAAAGCGATGTTAGCGCCTGTCAGGCTGCTCAGGCTGATGTTAGTCACCCCAAGTGACACATTCATACCCAGAACCACTGTCCACTGGCTGATGTTGGTCACTGAGCTGAGGTTGAATGAGTTGGAAGCACAGAAAATCGAAATGTTAGGATGTTGCACTGAAGGTTTAGATCCTAATAGGTGTGTGTCGGCATAAAACTTCATAAGACATAAAAATATAGCGTCATGTTGGCCTTGTGGCTGACCTGTTGAAGCACTGGGCTGCACTCATGACGTATCTCTGTGAGATGAGAGTGCCGCCACAGACTTGGACTCCATTAATCAGCAGGCTGACCTGCCAGGGCCACATCCCTGCTGCTACGGACCCACTGCTCCCGCCATTGTTCAGTGGGGCGAGACCACATACATCCGCTGAGATGAAGGAAGTGGGGGAACAAAGGCAGAGTATTACTACAATACCCTGGATCGTCCACTTGAGATCTATGCTGGTCATACTCCGTTACTCTGCCTCTGAAATGCAGTTACAACATTAACCAGTGATCAGCCAATCAGAGAGAGACAGCACTTGGTACAGTTATGTGAAGGCTTCCTGTATTGTTAGAGGTTTGCCTGAGGAAGGCAATCACATGACAGGCACAATAAGAATAACCTATGAACTGGTTGTGTGTGCTGTTCAACAACATTTAACGTTTGATGGTCGTTGTGATTAGTACAGATGTTGTATGTTGTCTTTCTCTTTTCAACAGACATGGAAGCAGATTTTCTGTTTTGTTTTTTTCTTGGTTTGTTTTTTTTTTTTTTTTTTTCCTTTTGTTTTTTTTTTCTGTTTTCTTTCCATTCCTCTCTCTCCCTCTCTCTCTCTTCCCTCCTTCTCCTTTGTCCCCCCCCTCCCTCTCCTTCTTTTGAGGAAGTAAATAAAAATATAAAATAAAATAAAAAATAAATAAATAAATAATAATTAAAACAAAAAAAATAATAATAATTAATAAATAAATAAATAGATACAGTCCCCCGCAGAGGGGGGGTGGAGGAGGGAATATAAAAAAAAAAAAAAAAAAAAAAAAAAAGAATAACCTATGAACTTCATGGGAAATTAAACCTGGGAAATATCAGACACTCACGCTTGGCAGTGGTGGTTGTGGTGGTGGGAGTGCTTGGAGTTATGGCAATGGACGGTGACGAACTGCAGGAGGTGCTGTTGTCACTGTCCAACCCACTGGAAGTAAATGTCACAAATCCTGGTTGGTTGTTGGTGATGATGGAATTGATCCAGGTCTGATAACGAGACACTCTGGTGTAGACCCCAGGGTGTTTGGGCGGGGCGCATTTATAGCCAAAACTCACAATCCCAGCCTGGATCCAAACAGACCCCTGTTTGACCACCAGGGGGCCTCCTGAATCTCCCTACACAGGTATAAACAGAATTCCATCAAAACTGTAACAGATACCAATCATACTAAGCTTCTGGCTACACACAGGAGCACATGATCTAAAAAAGGATTGTGCAGAAGCTACCGCACCTGACATGAGTCCTTTCCTCCTGCTAGCAGACCAGCACAGATCATGTTGGCTGTGATGATGCCCTTCCCATTCAGGCAATTACACATATTGTTTCCAACTATTGGTATCTGTACTTCCTGTAGGGTGCCAGGTGAGGGGAGGAACACTGAAAGAGAAAATCACCAACAATGTTAACCCTATCCATTTTTGGAACATTTTTTATACCTTTAATTTTAGACTTATTACATTGTATGTACACGAGTTAGCGACATATACTTTATGTATTTTTTTTTTTCAGGACATTCTAGGCTACTCAGATATGTCATAATTTGATGTTTAAATTCTGACACAATACTGATATCATCATTTTATGAGGAAAAACTGCTTGCGCCTATTGAAATTTCTCAATTTTTAGTCTAATCTAATATAAGAATTTGCAGGCACTACAAATATTATCTTCCGACACCTTTCAACAATGAGATCCCTTTGATGCTTTGTAGGCTCTTTGCAAACTGTGGCTTTTTCTGTAGGATGCAGTTGAGTAAATGTCAGGGAAATCTTACAAGGACAGCTGAACTTTATTTGGGGTTAATCTGAGTCACTTTAATTGATGGCAAGAGTGTACCCAAAAAGACTGAATGCTGTAATTAAACCAAAAGGTGCTTCAACAAAGTATTAGTTTAAGGGTGTGCACACTTATGCAACCAGCTTATTGTTATTTTTAAATTTTTCATATATTTCCACCTTAACAGATCTGTTTATCTTTCAATTTAATTGTACAGGTTATAGGTCACATTAAAGGTAGGAAAATTCTATTAAATGGTTTACCGTGGTCTCATTTTTTATATCTCAAAAACCTGGCATTGTAACATGGGTTTGTACACTTTTTATATCCACTGTATATTCGTTTTGTTTATATCTACTGTTGTGATGATAGTTGGTAGTGCATGGATCATTGTGGTAGTGAATATGCACTTTGTTTTCTGGGGTGCGTTTTGGTAGAAAATTTTTTATGAATATGCCTCATTTCACACAAGATTGAAATTAACATCCTAACCAGGGTTAGTTATTGAAATGAGGAGTAGTGCTGACAGTGTTATGCCTGGTTATGAATATGATGACATACCAGTATAGTTAACATCTCCCCAGCCTGTGACCCAGGTCTCAGTGCCATTGTAGAAGGTGCTGCTGCTGGCTGCCAGGCAGACAGGCTGGACATAGTTGGTGAAGGTCACAGTCGTGCTGAGTTCCAGCAGAGCGAGGTCATTGTCAAATGTTTTATTGCTGTATAGTGGATGAATAATGATTCTACTGAGGGTTTTGACTTGTTGATTTGGGTTTGTACCATATAGCTGCTGACGCCCCAGATAAACATTCCAGTTGGCTGTATCTGTGCTATAGGAGGCAGAGCATCAAACAGTCAAAAATCAAGTTAAATCACACTTTTTGAAAGCTGAATATTTCTCTGATTTTTTGTATGAGATTTAACATTGATACTCTTATATAAAATCACCTATATGACTCACCTGGAGAAGCAGTGGGCAGCAGAGAGCACCCACTTACTGTTGATGAGGGATCCTCCACACATGATCTGATATGTCTGAAAAGTCTGCAGCAGATTAGCCTGCCAGGGCCAATTGCCCGGGGGTGCGTTCTCTCCCCCCACTATCCTGGTGTTAAGAGGAGCCTGACCACACACTGGGAGGGGGGAGAGGTGAGCAGGTGAAGAGCTGAACATGGACTGACTGAAAGTCTGTACAATATTCTAACAGACATTACTGTGCCAGTTTTAGATATTGGCCAATTAATTTGTTAAGTACTAGTTCACAAGACAAAGTATTAGTGTAATTTTGTGTTTTAAGGGATGGAACAAAGATATGATATTAACAAACTTACCATTCAGTTGTGCATGTGACTCTAAAAAAATGGGAGAGAACAGCTTTGGTTAATTACTATAATATGACTGAAAATGTTTTCATAATGATTATGCCTATTTGTGTCGTACATGTCTAATCTCAATATGACAACTATTTAAATAGTTGTAACTAGAGCTGTGCGATATGACAAAATAATATTATCACAATATTTTTTTGTCATATCAGTTGATATAGATAATTATCACAATATATTTAAAGTCATTATTTACTTCTAAGCTCAATTTTTCTTTAATTATTCGCTTAGATTCAGAACATAAAAAGGCAAGAAATTGAATGGACTGCAAACTAAAATCTAATTGTACCAAATAAATCAAACAAAAAAACGTAACACTAGAAAATGCCAACAGTACAGTGTGTAGTTTTTTTCTCGGACTGCCTTCCAGGGAACGTGTTTGACATTGCGGGTACTGTCGTTACAGCTTTGGTCAAAGTAGACATGAAACACTGGATATAGTTACTTTTAAATTATGCTAACTACATCCAATTTTTCATGTCCACTTTAATTACTGTAATGTCACTGAAAATGTTTTCATGATGATTGTGAATTTCTCTGTCTTACATGCCTAATCTCAGTGTGACTCTTTTAAATAGTTGTGACCTTTCCATATGAGTACCTTTTAATGACATGAACAGAAACAATGGCAACTCTCCCATCCCGTATGTCAACATACTGTTTCATCTTTTTAAAATCAGATATTTTTAATACCCAACCTGGAATGACATGTGTCACTTAGTGTCTACAGGCTTTACTCAAAGCAGAAGCTTCAACAGCATGAAATGCAGTGAAGGCAGAGCATGTGAAACACATTTTTCTATGGAAACTAACCCGCACACGTTTACAGCTATGTAACGAAGAACCGCAGTCATTAAGTACCTTAATCATTGTACTATGAGGTCACGAAAGTCCGGAGCTCGCCAATTTTTTTAAGAGATAAAAAAAAAATTCAAAATTAAATATTCACCTGAATTAAAAAATCAGCAGTTGAAAATGTTTCTGGGCCAATTTAGTTCAGATATGTTTTTGTAGTGTCTACTGTGTGTGTGTGTGTGTGTGTGTGTGTGTGAGCGGGTTTACCTATCATTATGGGGACATAATGTCCCCATAATGTGATAAATATCTATTTTTTTCCCTTATGGGGACTGGTTTCCTGGTCCCCATAAGGGAAAACTCTATTTTATAAAAATTGGTGACTGCTATGAAAAAACTAAAAATGCAAAAACTTTTGTATTTTGTTAGGTTACTTATGGTTATGGTTAGGGCATGGTAGGGGTTAAGGTTGTCATAGTTAGCGTTAGCATTTTTCCCATTGAAATGAATGAGCGGTCCCCATAAGGATATGTTTACCCTACATGTGTGTGTGTGTGTGTGTGTGTGTGTGTGAGAGAGAGAGAGAGAGAGAGAGAGAGAGAGAGAGAGCTAGAACATTCAGTATCAGCACGAGAGCGGACCCACAACTCATGAACCGCGCGCGTGCACTTCACTGAAAGAAGTCAGAATTCACGTGGTGTGCGTGTGATCATGCAGCATTGTGAGGGAGGGTGCACAGGGAATATTATTTGGTAGGACAAGACAATGATCACTGTCACTGTCAGGGACTATACCTGTCCGGCCCTGCCCTTCATGTCTCTTCCCCCTTTGGCCAGCAGGTGTTGCTAGTCATCCTGTTCCCTCCTCTGTTTTTATGCTAGACCCATTTTGTGTTTTCCATGCTCCCTGGAATGGCTCAATGGGTTGAGCGTATAGCACAAATGCTATAAACATCCTATCATGGATTTGAGGCTGGTTGCAAACCAACCTCATCTGTTTAATTCCTTATTTGCTTTTTTGTTTCCCAGTGTTTTGTTAGTTGTTAGTTTTTCTGTCCTAGGTTTGCCCTGTTCACATCCTATTTGGTTTTGGTTTTGCTTATATATGTTCCTAGTCTTCTCTAGCGTTGATAAGCCTTAGTGTTTTTTAGATTCCCTGGTTCCTGGTGTTCTTAGTCGTAAGTTATTTCACTTGTGGCTTACTGTTCTATGGCCTTGTTGATTAGTTGTTCACACCTGCCCTTTGTTAGTCATCATCATCAGTGTATTTAATGGTGCATTCGTTTTTCTCTCGGAATTCGGAAATTCCGAGTTGAGTGACTTCACGTCCGACAATCTCCCGTTCGAGCTACCCACATCTCGGAACAAACATGGCTGTCTACATGAACATGTTGCTGTGTGTTGTTACTTTATATTTTAGCAGATTTGGAGTTTTCCAAATGGAGAAAATGGAGAAATGGAGATTTTTCCGAGAGACAAACAAGAAACATGAACTACACGAACCACATTAAAAGCTTTACAAAATATATTAGTACATTCATAGCGATATTCTTTTTTCGAACGGTAAACAAACTACAAACAAACCAAGTCGCCATGTTGAAATTACGTCACAGGGGCAACTCGGACAACAAAATCTTGTCCGACTTCAACGTCATAAAAGAGGCGTGTTTCCGACGGGAAGTGACGTTTTTCGTGACGTTTTGTGACGTTTTCAACCGAGTTCCGACTTGGAGAGAAATAATTGAACGCACCATAAGTGCCTGCCTTTGTTCATTTCCCCAGTCAGTCATTGTGCTTTGTTACCGTGTGTTATGCTGTTGGTTTCTCTTAGTTCTGGTCCTTGTGTTGCCCATTTCCCTTTGTATGTTAACTTTTCTTTTGGTTTTTTTTTCCCTTTAGTTTAGGTCCAACCCCTTGTGGTCCCTTTTATTTTGTGGTTTCCTTTTGTGTTGTGTTTTGTTTAATGAACCCTTTTAGTCTCTGAGCTGCAAGTGGGTTGTCCACCTTTTTCCTTCTTGCACCATGCCCCACCAACATAACAGATCATTATCTGTAAAAAACATTCCAAAACAATGACCTGGTATAGCATCTGGAGTACAGATAATTGTAAGAAACATTAAATATAAGCGCAGGCTAGGCTACTCTGGTCATGTTATAGGTTTGGTTTCTTTTGTATTATGCCTAATTTAGATTAGGCTAACTAACGTTTCACATGATGTCATTAAATAAAAATAATAAACAGTTTATGAAGGGGACGGTATCAGTGATAGTGTCCATAGAAACATTTCAAAGTGTATTTGATGTTAGCTTGTAATATTATGTTAATATCAAGCATTTCTCTTACATTTTTATCTTTATATATGGTTAACCTTAATTGACATGCTTCATAGCCATAATATTCTACTGCTCTATAATGTTCTTATGACATAGACCTAATTTCATTCAGTAAGGCACATTCATTTAATAGGTGTAACTCAATTCATTGATATAAACTCTAATTTAACACTGCCTATCCCACAGAAAACAAGCTGCACAGAGCAGGGCAGACATGTCAAAACGATTAAAACAAAACACGTTAGATACAATTCTTATAAAAATCCTAATTTACATCAGTCCCAAGATGAAGAAATGGGTAAAGAGGGAGACAGCCAGCAGGAAGGAATGGAGGAGGACAAAGAGCAGAGGGATGGAGAGGTGGAATACAGGGAGGAGAACCACTCAGAGGAGGAGGACAGAGAGCAGAGGGACAGAGAGGAGAGACGTACAGCAGGGAGGCGGGACAGGACAGAAACAGAGAAAACTGACATCAAACATACCGGACTGAACTGTAAAAACCGGGAATCTCTCATCTTTCTCTCTCTCACACACACACATTGTAGGGAGGGTTAGTTCAGAATTTGTGTTTTTCAGATTTTCAGCACCAATACGAATTCATTTCTTGTAAATAGAAGTAGGCCTCCTGCATGTTATGTGTGATTGACAAGACCCACCCCCTCCCAATCCCCCACCCCTGGGTCGCGGAACTGGAAGTCAAAGTCAAAGTCAGCTTTATTGTCAATTCTGCCACATGTACAGAACACACAGAGAATTGAAATTACGTTTCTCACATACCCTTGTTAAACAGAAAACATTAATACAAAAAAAGTATAAAAATTTAAAAATACAAGTAAGAAAATATGAATAAATACAATATATAAGTAAGGGCACGTGGCAGAGAGTGCAAATCAGACATAAAGTGCAAATAGAGCTTGTAAGTATGATAAGTGATAAAGAGCAGCCTTGAACAGACAGAGTCGTTATGAGGTAGGCTATGAGTAGGATGAGGTAATTAGCAGACCAATGCTACACAAAGTGACTGGTGCAGTTCAGTGAGTATGTGTGGGTGTGAGTGTGTGTGTATCAGAGTTTCAGAAAGTCCGTGGGGCAGAAGAGGGGAGTGAGGGGAGTGGGGGCAGAGCCGGGAGAGAGTTGAGCTTCCTGACAGCCTGATGGAGGAAGCTGTCCTTCAGTCTGCTGGTCCTGGCCTGGAGACACCGCAGTCTCCTCCCTGATGGCAGCAGGCTGAAGAAGCTTTGCATTGGGTTGGTGGGATCGGCTGCTATGCAGAGAGCTTTCTTGGTGAGACGGGTACTGTAGATGGCCTGGAGGGAGGGGAGAGGGACACCAATGATCCTCTCAGCTGCTCTCACAATGCGTTGGAGGGTTTTATGGCAGGACGCCTTGCAGGCTCCAAACCACACAGTGATGCAGCTCGTCAGGATGCTCTCAATGGTGCCTCTGTAGAAGGTGAACATGATGGGGGCTGGTGCTCTTGCTCTTCTTAGTTTGCGAAGGAAGTTGAGACGCTGTTGTGATTTTTTGGCCAGTGCAGTGGTGTTGTTTGTCCAGGAGAGATCCTCAGTGATGTGTACACCCAGGAACTTGGTACTGC